TGCTGAATTATAGGTCGCAGTTAACACGCCCTTCCCTGTTCACTATTGAAGCGCCCAGGGGCCGGAGACGTTAGATTACTGTTAAAAGCCACCTACAGTTTCCGGCGCTATGGTATAGACACACGTGACTGTTAAAGCTACGTGTGTTATACCCCGTGCAACCCAGATTCAGTAACTGTTAAAGCCCTAAATCTTGTTTACCTAAACCACTCTTCAGTTCAGTTTCGGTACTATGCGCCACAGCTACATAGCATTTTACAAAACGGATTTTAGTTTCAATATTGAGATTATGACTATTAAGCACTTTTTTGTATCTAAGAAAAGTATTTCGTGCTATTTCTATTCGGCATTTGATCTCTTTGGAACAATTCCAATTTTCATTTACATAGCATCCAAGATATTTAAAATGCTGTACTCTTTCTATACCAATATTATTAACCATTAAATTTGTGTTGCTATACATATTCTTTCGGCTTACAATCATATATTTTGTTTTATTTATATTTATTTTTAGTCCATATTGTTCGCTAGTGGTGTTAACCCTGTTTACTAGCTCTTGTAGGTCACTTAAACTGTCGTCAATAAGAACGGTGTCATCCGCGTATCTGATGTTATTAAAGAAAACGCCGTTTACCTTTACACCTTGTTGAATATCGCTAATTGATCCTTCAAATATTATTTCTGAATACACATTGAATAACAGTGGCGACAATATGCAACCCTGTCTAACGCCTCTTAAAATGGATATCCCTTCTGTTATATCACATCGGATTTTCTTGTCATCAATATCAATGTTTTGAAAAATTTCTATAAGTTAATATGTTTCACGTTGTCGAACGCTTTCTCGTAATCGATAAAACAGCGAAAAACGTCTTTGTGAACGTCTTTACAGTTTTGAACTAAAACTTGAATACATAATAGTGCTTCCCGAGTTCCAAGTGCTTCCTTAAAACCAAATTGTGATTTCCCCATTACTTCTTCGTATTTTTTGTATATTCTGCCGTGTATAATTTGTAGAAAAATTTTTAGAGCATGTCACATTGTAAGGATGGAAATTTACACTAAATTTCCACCTACATAAACGCTACATAAACGTGCACTAAAAACAATAACAACACGAACTAAAACACAACAATACAACACAGTTTTTTATAAAACAATACACTTTATATATTTATATTTAAACTTGGGAAAAGTGGACTCACTGGTAATAAATATTGCAAATATTGGAATTAAATAGATTAATTAATATATAAAATATTTAGTCAAAACAATTTACCAAAACCCAAACCGCTTACAAGCCTTAATAACACCTCAAACTAAGCTGAAATGATATCGAAATGAAATATAAAAATATAAATAAATAAATGAAAAATAAACTCACCTTATTTATTTGTTAATTATATTTCTTATTTTTATGTTGTAAATTGTTGAATATTTGCAGTTTTAATATTTTATTTTATTGTAACAAACAACAGAAATAAAAACCGCCACCGATCGAATGTAGCTTTAAAAACACATTTTGTAAGAATCAAAACAAAGCAGCGTTAACATAAGAAAACAACAACTGCCAAAAATATTCGCCGCAAGAGAAGCTCAAAGAGAAGTTAAATGCACAAGCTGAGTACAGCACAAACATGAAATAGAAAATCAGAACGGCAAAAATTAAACAAGAATTACGTGAGATCAGCTGTAAATAAAATGATACGCTCCGAAAAAGCTCGGTCGAGTGCATATAAAAGATGCGCATTTTTCTTATAGAGTTCACTTGTAAAATATTTACTAAGGCACATACACCTGGGGATTACAAGTTGAAATTAGCACTAGTTGCACATAGAAGAATTTCGATATAAAGAAATTATTCATACGAAGGAATATATTTAATTTAAATTATTTCACTACGATCGGCTGTAGTACGCCTACTGTAAAGAAATAATTTATAATAATATACAAAGGAATATATCCATATCAGGATATATTCATACGAAGGAATATTTTTTGAATTTGAATTATTACACTACGATCGGCTGTAGTACGCCTACTGTAAGTGAATAATTTATAATAATATACGAAGGAATATATCCATATCAGGATATATTCATACGAAGGAATATTTTTTGAATTTGAATTATTACACTACGATCGGCTGTAGTACGCCTACTGTAAGTGAATAATTTATAATAATATACGAAGGAATATATCCATATCAGGATATATTCATACGAAGGAATATTTTTTGAATTTGAATTATTACACTACGATCGGCTGTAGTACGCCTACTGTAAGTGAATAATTTATAATAATATACAAAGGAATATATCCATATCAGGATATATTCATACGAAGGAATATTTTTTGAATTTGAATTATTACACTACGATTGGCTGTAGTACGCCTACTGTAAGTGAATAATTTATAATAATATACGAAGGAATATATCCATATCAGGATATATTCATACGAAGGAATATTTTTTGAATTTGAATTATTACACTACGATCGGCTGTAGTACGCCTACTGTAAGTGAATAATTTATAATAATATACAAAGGAATATATCCACATCAGGATATATTCATACGAAGGAATATTTTTGAATTTAAATTATTACACTACGATCGGCTGTAGTACGCCTACTGTAAGTGAATAATTTATAATAATATACAAAGGAATATATCTACATCAGAATATATTCATACGAAGTAATATCTTGAATTTGTAATAATATACAAAGGAATATATCCACATCAGGATATATTCATACGAAGGAATACTTTTGAATTTTAATCATCACACTACGATCGGCTGTCACACGAAGACATCATCAGTACCAGATCTCCACCAGGACATCCAAAACAATTATTGTACTCCGGAACAATTAGTAATCATCCTAATAATATCATTTTTTTTCCTTTAACTATTTCATTATTATATTTTTTTTGAATTATAAAATTTTATTTATAATAAAACCTAAATATTGTAAATAAAATCACGTATTTGAATATTTTGGTTACAATTAAAAATTTATTGTAACGAATCTGGACAGGCTGAGTATACCCCAGCAAATAAGCAACGACACCAAGAAAGGGTCGTTACAACATAAGGCTGATAAGTCTGTATTCACCACATTTTTTTTGCATTTTTCTTCTGAAGCAGTGTTATTGTAAAAAATATCTCATAATATCATAAATATCTCTTATCTCTTATCATGAATTAATATTTTAATCTCTTTTTTTTTAACTTTATACTTACTATTGAATTATTCTTTTTTGTTAAAAGTAGTAATAAATGCACACTCGCAGCATACAGTTGTATTTTATTTCATGTGAAAACTATATTTTCTACATGGTGCCGAAACCCGGGAAGACAACTGTCGATATTCTAATATAATAGTGCAAGTAAAAAGCGATTTAATTAAAAAGCGAATTAAAAAAGAAATTTTTATCAAAATTATAAACGAAGAATATCTAACGGGCGAGTGTAAAAGAAACTTAAATACTTAAATTTTATCGTAAAATAAAATTCATCATAAAATATGAGCGACCCACTATATAGGACATCGTGCCGCACACAACTTACAAAGTTGTGTAATCAGATCAATAATTATTTGAACGAGCCTGATAACATTACTGAAAAAGGCCTGGCTATTAACCTGAAGCGGCTTCAGAACGCCCACGAAAAGTTGAAAAAGGCTAATGAAATGGTTCAGGATGACAAAGATTTTGACATAGTAATTGATTATGATGACAAAGCAATAGCAGTTATTGCGAAACTGGAATATAACATACAGCGGCTGAAGATTTCCAGCAACGAACCATTTCCCTCAGACCTTAAGGAAAGTATAATTCAGGGCTTTGAAAATTCCAATAACAGTAATGGAGTCAGACTTAAACCTATAGAATTGAAAAAATTTAACGGAGCATTTGAAAGTTGGTTGCCCTTTTGGGAGCAATTTAAAGTAGCTGTACATGATAATAAAAAGCTAGATGCAGCAACAAAATTTAATTATTTAAATGAAGCGTTAGCCGGTGAAGCAGCAGCGAAAATAGCGGGATTCATTCCAACAGAAGCATGTTACAAAGACGCTTTAAATTTGTTGTTGGAAGAATATGGAGACAGAGAAAAAATAATCGAAAAGTACATCCAAAAATTACTTAACGTTCAAGCTGTACATTCATCATCGAATATAAAAGGTTTACGAAGTTTGTATAATGAAACAAAATCATCAATTAGAACACTCACGGCTCTCGGCGTTCCTTCTTCTCAATATACAATCATGGTATACTCTTTAATATTAAAAGCAATTCCTCCGAATATAAGAGTAGAATTTCTTAAAGAGAAAAAAAGAGGTATTCACCATTCGACTATGCTCAATTCAACGGCGACAGAAAATGGTGAAAGCATAACAAAAATAAAATATGATGATCAGCTAATAACGTTATTAGAACATATCAGAATTGAAGTAGAAGCATTAGAAAAAGCAACAATGTCAACTCACTGCAATGCAGATAAAAGGGATAATGACAAAACAAAGACAGCACGAGGCACAGCCGTTGGTTTATATTCTTCTGAACAAATTTACAGAAATTGCATTTTTTGTAAACGCGCAAATCATAATACAAGTGATTGCAAAGACAAAACCATTGGAATTAATCAAAAGAAAAATATATTAAAAGGTCAAGGTAGGTGCTTCAGATGTGGTAAGGCAAATCATACTTCTAAGTTCTGTAAAAATCAGTGGATAAAATGTTCCATTTGCAGTGGTCGCCATATGAGTGCTATTTGTGAGAATAAAACGTTTAAATTAAACAGCGTAGACAATTTGGTTGAACGCCAATCGGTAACAACTACAACGGAAAAACCAGCATTGCCTGAAACGAGCACATCAAATTCATCAGCAGCTCTGAACACAATGTCAAATGTTGGAAAAATGAAGTTTATTTACAAACCGCTAAAGCGATAGTTTTAAGTGATGAATCTAAATGTTTAACAAGAGTGATTATGGACAATGGAAGTCAAGGAACATATGTTACCGAAAATTTGGCAAAGCAGCTACAATTACCGGTTGTAGGTATTGACAACACACGAATTATTTCGTTTGGCCAAAGTAGCCACAATAGAAAAGTTAAGCAAATAAAACGTGTAATATTAAAAGTGCAAAGCCAATATTCCGATGAAATTAAAGAAATTTATGCTTCAGTTGTGCAAAATATATGTGCTGATGTTATACCAGTTCCTGGTGACATATATGATAAAATTAAAAACATGGCTGAAAATGTAGTCACAAATGTAAAACAAATGACTGGTATTAATTTATTAATTGGCCAAGACAATTATTGGCAATTTAACTCTAATAATTGTGAATATATTACTAAGAATTTGGTTGCAGTTGAAACATTTTTCGGTTGGACAATTCAAGGCTGTTCAGATAATCAAACTCAAACGAAATATGTATTGAATGTTATCGAAGATTCAAACGATTTTGACGTTTCTAAATTTTGGGATTTAGAATCCGTTGGGATTAAATCATACCCCGAATGTACAAAACCTCTTAAAAAAGCAAATTTAGCGAAAATTAATGGACGTTATACTGTAAGCCTACCATGGAAATATGATAAGGATGTCTACCTTCATAATAATAAAAATAATGCACTAAATCGACTCAAAACTCTTAGTTCTAAATTATTTAAAGATCATAATAAACTAATCGAATACGACACTGGAATGCGCGAACTAATTAAGTCTGGAATAGCAGAGGAAGTACCAGATGGCCATAATAATGAGAGAACATATTACATGCCGCATCGTCCAGTGTACAGAGAAGATAAAATTACAACAAAAATGCGCATTGTGTTCGACGCCTCTTCAAGTAACCCAGGAATGGCATCACTTAATGATATGCTTGATTCAGGTGAGAACTTATTGGCAGATTTAACTTCGATATTGCTAAGATTTCGTTGTCACAAAATTGCAATGAGTGCAGATATAGAAAAAGCATTTTTACAAATTTCATTAAATCAGAATGATAGAGATAGTCATCGTTTCCTTTGGTATAAAAATTTAAGAGATGATAACAAACTAGCGGAAATTGCAACTTATCGAATGGCAAGGGTAACTTTTGGTGTAACATCTAGTCCTTTCTTGTTAGCGTCGACAATGCAGCAACATCTGCAAGGCAATGTTGAACAATATGGTTTAATATGTGACAAACTAAAAAACTCATTTTACGTAGACGACTTAATAATTAGTATATCAACTGTTCAAGAAGCTGAATATTTATACCTCATTGCAACGAAAATAATGAAAATAGGAGGTTTTAATTTGCGGAAGTGGACCTCCAACAGCGAAGACTTACGACGAAAATTTGAAGAAAATAATGAAGAGCAGCATCCGATACAAAAGGTGCTTGGAGTTTTATGGTACATTTATGAAGATAATTTATTTATAAATTTAGATCACTGTATAGAGATTTCCCGGAATTTAAGACCAACTAAACGCAATGTATTAAAGATTATGGCTGGAGTTTATGATCCCTTAGGATTTTTAGGTCCGTTTACTGTAAAATTGAAAACACTATTGCAGAGGATATGGAAAGAAAATTTAGACTGGGACTCTACCTTACCTGAAAGCTTAGCGGATGATTTTAATAAATGGTGTGATGATTTACATAGTTTAAAATATTTTACTATTAGTAAGATCCAATTTGTCAACAATTCAACTACATGTATTTGCAGATGCGAGCCCGATTGCATACGGAGCTGTTGCATACCTACGAGAAATTTTGTCTAGTGGCAAATTATTTACAAGCTTTATATGTTTTAAAAACAGAGTAAGTCCTATTAAAAATAAAAATAAAAGCGAACTCACTTTACCAAAGTAAGAGCTAACAGCCGCGCTTATTGCAGCCAGATTAGCAAATTTTTCAAAGCTTGAGTTAAACATAAATTTTTCTTCTATTAACATGTGGACAGATTCAAGTATAGCTCTGCAATGGATAACTGGAGACGGTAAACAAGTAAAACAAAATATCAGCTCAAAAGTAAGCGAAATTAACAAACTAACTGTTATATTTCTGTGTTTATATAATTCTATTTTATTTATTCACAAAATCATTTATTCAATTATCAATTAATTATTACATGTGCACGCGCTTTTTTCTATCTCTCCTTTTCTTCGCATGCTCCAAAACAGCTGATCACCTTAGTGATGCCATCTCGTTACGATAATTGATTTTATATCGTAACACTAACAAATGTGTATGACTGGCGTCATTGTGATGGCAAATGTAATCCAGCAGATCTGTTAACTCGTGGTATAAAAGCCAAACAATTGATGCAGTCAGAATTATGGAAATGGGGTCCATCATGGCTTATCATGGAAAGCAACGAATGGAATATAAGCAAAATTGAGGATAGCGCAACTCTTATCACAAAATAACTTCAAGAAGAGAATGTTTGCAATATATCTAAGGAAACTATATTTGATATACAAAAGTTTAGTAATTTACGGAAAATGTTAAGAGTTACCGCATACGTATTTCGATTTTTAAGGAATATAAAAAATAAAGGAATTCAGCAATCTATCAATACTGAATTGGAGAAGATTGATGATTTGACTCTAGAGGAATTAAATAAAGCGGAAGTTTATTGGATTGGTTGTGCACAAAGTGAGTATTTTTTGTCAGAAATAATATCGTTGAAGAAAGGACAAAAAATTGGAGCGGAATCAAAAATTTTACAATTGAATCCCGTTTTAATAGATGGGTTACTGCGACTTTCTTGTCGTTTATCAATGACTGAGTATGAAAATCTAAGCAATCCAATTATATTACCAAAGGAGTCATATTTATCTAAGTTGATTGTTTTGGAAGCGCACCAAAAGTTTATGCACAGTGGAATTAATGCTACCTTAGCTAAGATTCGAAAGCGATTTTGGGTTGTTAAAAGCCGGCAACTAATTAAAAGCGTTGTACAGCGGTGTATAAATTGCAAAAGGCTGCATGGGAAAAATGCATCTGAAAACTGGACGGATTTACCTATCGAACGGGTCACTGTATCCAAACCATTTGAAACCACTGGCATAGACTTTGCTGGTCCATTATATATAACTTCTACTGACAACAAAAATGATTTTAAAAAAGCGTATATAATGTTGTTTACCTGTGCAGCAACTAGAGAAATCCATTTGGAGCTGGTAGCAGATTTAACTGTTGAAAGCTGTATAAACGCACTAAGAAAATTTATTGCAAGGCGTGGCACCCCCTCTATTATTATATCAGACAATGCGAAAACTTTTAAAAGAAGTTGTATGGAAGTGCAAAAGCTTGAACAACTAATGGAGAAAACTAGAATCAACCAATTTGCTGTAGCCAATGACATTAAGTGGAAGTTTATTCCAGAACGTGCAGCGTGGTGGGGTGGATTTTGGGAGCGGCTTGTACGAACTGTAAAAAACTGTTTAAAGGCAGCAATTGGGAAAGCAAGGCTGACTTTTTATGAAATGGATACTTTACTAACAGAAGTAGAAAGTGTAGTAAATCAAAGACCACTCACCTATATTACTACTGACTGTAACGATTTGGCGCCGTTAACACCTGCACATTTTTTGGGAGAATGTGGTGTGTTAAGCAAAGAAAATTTCTTATCTGACGGCAGCACTATAGCAAAAATGTGGCAATCACGAACTTATATTTTAAAGCGTTACTTAAAACGATGGCAGGACGAATACTTAACTCAATTACGCTCAATTCATCTTAATAAGTCTAAACCAACAAAATCTATAAATATTGGCGATGTAGTATTGGTCAAAGATGAACATCAATCAAGACTTCTTTGGCGAATGGCAGTGGTCGTAGCTACTTACATTGGACGAGATGGGCGTGCCAGAGCGTGCGATGTCAGACTCAAAGACCAGAAAATTATGAGAAGACCTATTCAACTACTATATCCGCTTGAATTAATATGCGATTCGCCGGGTCCCAGGATGTAAAAAATATCTCTTAATATCATAAATATCTCTTATCTCTTATCATGAACTAATATTTTAATCTCTTTTTTTTTAACTTTATACTTACTATTGAATTATTCTTTTTTGTTAAAAGTAGTAATAAATGCACACTCGCAGCATACAGTTGTATTTTATTTCATGTGAAAACTATATTTTCTACAGTTATTTTCTACAGTTCAAAATTTCAGATGGAAATTCATCTGGGCCATTTGCCTTATTGTTTTTCATCGATTGTAAAGCTTTCTTGACTTCGTCTTTAGTTATGTACATTCCAGTTGTAAAATAAATATCATTATTTAGTCTACTGCTATCAGAAAAAACGTTTTCAATATTTGTTTTCCAAATTCTTTTCTTTTCATTTATGTCAAAACTATTTCATTGTCATCACTAATGAGAAATGAACGTTAGATTTGGATCAGGTCTTTAAACCAAATGATAACGAAAATATGCCTGATGTCATGAAACAAAGGATAAATTTTCTACAAGAGCCTTATCAATTGGAACTTCCAATTAAAAGATATACTATTAACGAAGTTAGGGATATAATAACAAAGTTAAAAGTACAAAAAGCTCCAGGATACGATTTAATCACAGACATGGCCTTGCAGCAGCTTCCACCAAAAGGATTTGTATTTCTGACTCATCTATTTAACGCTGTGATAATAAGGGGATTTATTCCGCCACGGTGGAAGATAGCGCAAATCTCCATGATACCGAAACCAGGGAAAAGCCCAGAAGACGTCAAATCATATCGCCCAATAAGTATACTTCCAATCCTGTCGAAAGTTATGGAAATCCTGTTTCTAAAGCGCCTTACACCGATTATCCAACAAAACAGACTCATCCCTGACCATCAATTTCGCCAAAAACATAGCACAATAGAACAAATTCATAGACTTGTCAGACATATCCATAGTGCGATAGATGGTAAAAAATATTGTACTGCTGCATTTATAGATATTTCACAAGCTTTTGATCGAGTATGGCATGAAAGCCTTCTTTTCAAACTAAAACTGAATCTACCCCCAAATTTTTTCATATATATAAAATCATACCTCTCGGCAAGACACTTTTTCATTAAGCATGGAAACGAAACTACAGTACTTCATGATATAGGAGCAGGAGTACCTCAAGGTAGCATAATGGGACCAATGCTTTATCTTTTATATACTGCGGATCTTCCCCTTACCGATGTGAGTGTTATCGGTACATTTGCAGACGACACAGATTTTTTATCAGTTAACAGTGACCCAATCCGTGCTTCCACCAAATTTCAAACCTGCCTCAACAATGTTGCTCTTTGGATGAAAAACTGGCGTATCAAACCAAATGAATCAAAATCTGTCCAGATAACATTTACTACAAAACTTTCTACGTGCCCGCCTGTTTTAATAAACAATACTGAATTACCACAAGCTTTAGAAACAAAATACTTGGGCATACATCTGGATAGTAAGCTAACCTGGAAATCACACATATTCAAAAAGCGTAAGGCTCTGGGTCTTAAATTACGAAACTTATTGTGGTTCTTCAGCCGAAACTCCAAACTGTCACTAGACAATAAGCTGCTCATATGCAAATCTGTACTAAAACCTATATGGAGTTATGGGGCCCAATTATGGGGTACTACAGCAGACTCAAACCTGGCAATTATTCAGTGTTTCCAATCTAAAACATTGCGGATGATCACAAATGCACCTTGGTATATAACGAATGAACAGCTGCATAAATAACTACATGTTCGGACAATCGAGGAAGAAATAGCCAGTACTCTAAAGAATCACGCTCACACTGTTACTTTAAATATATATGGATATGTCACTGGGCATAGTCCATACGTGTCTTTCATTTTTTAGATCGTAATAATTATTATTACGATTTATAACTATACATTATTACTTATTGTCATTCATGCCTGACAGATTGTAATAAAATAAATGGATCTCAAAAAAAAAAAAAGAATGTTATGTCAAAACTATTTCATTGTCATCACTAATGAGAAATGAAGGAGAGTTTTTTCGATAAATTCCTGCAGTCTGTTTCAGTTTTTTGTGTAGATTGAAGTCATCATGTAGTGATTGCAATCGTTCAATTTCTTGGTATTCATTATTTACCCAAACTGTTTTTGCTGTACGGATCTTACTTCTGATGTCTCTGTTTAATTGCCAATATAGATCTTGTTGTGTATTTTTATACTAACGACGTTCATTTATCAATTTCTCTATATCTTCGCTCATCCAATGATTTTTTATTTCTTTTCTATATGATCCATAAATTTCTTTCGATGAAGATGTAATCGTTGTCTTGAGTTGCTCCCATATATTATTTGGGTTCCTAGAATCAATACTACTAATGTTATGATTTATTTTATTTTTTAATGAACATTTTATGTCATCATTTCGTAGTTCTTCTAAGTTGAGTTTAAGGCTTGGTTTCTTTTTGCGATTTGATGCTAATCTTATGCAAATTTTCGCCATTAGAAGATTATGGTCAGATGAAGAGCAGAAACGATAATTAATTAGGATGAAGTCTATTTGATTTCTGATAATGTTATCAGGAGTTTCAGATGTAGATTTCCACGCATATAGTCTACGAGGAGGTAAATTGAACATAGTATTTGAAGTCTTTAATTTATATTCTTGACAGAATTGTATTAGTCGATCTCCTGTATCATTTCTTTCACCTAGTCCATACTGGCCCACAACTCCATTAACTTCTCCTTTTCCAACCTTTGCATTAAAGTCTCCTTGAATAATGTTTATTTCATGTGATTTGGTCAGTCGCATAAGTTCATTTAATTCAGCATAAAAAGATTTTATTTCGTCGTCACTTTTGTCAGCAGTTGGTGCATATACTTGAATAATATTTATATTAAGTGGTTTGGCATTTATTTTTACCATCATAGCCCTATCGGATTTGGGAATGAATTCAGTAACAAATTTTGTAATATCCTTTATCATTAGTATGCCTACTCCATTACGATGATGTTTGTTTTGGTTGCCAGAGTAATAAACCTTTGTGTTTTGAGAAAAGAATTCTCCGCAGTCGGGCCACCATGTTTCGCTTACGCCGAGTATATCAATATTGTGTTTCTTCATTTCTAAAATCATGTTAGCTAATTTTCCTGCTTCATACAAGCTTATAGTATTCCATGTTCCAATGTTTAAAGTTTGTTTAGTTTTACCTCCGGGATTCTTAGCACCCTCGTATTGCCGGAGACTGAGGGCCTTGATTGTGGTTGCACTTCCATTGTTACATGATATGCTGGGATATGTACTTCAGTGGTTTCCCGTTGCCTTCTGAAGGGTTTATTGTTTTCCGTCAATACACATTTATATAGCGTTGCTTTCTGAAGGGTTTATTGTTTTCCGTCAATACACATTTATATAGCGAGCCAAATATATTTGTCTGCTTTCAGCCGTACCTCTGGTATCACACGCTGAAACGTTGTGGATTGCTTTAGGCTTCGATATTCACTGTCGACCTTACCGGCTTGGGAGGCCTTACCAGTAGCTACGCTACCACTGGCATCGCTCTCTAGATCATCATATCTACTAAACTCCTTCATCGCGTCAAGATAGCAATCCTCGAAGGAGCATTTACCCCTAAGAGTATAGAATTAACAGTTGATCGTGGATATATACTTTGGGGGTATATTCTATTGTTATTCCTCAAAAACTTAGACAAAGTGTTTTGCACAAATTACATGAATCTCATTTAGGGGTTGTCAAAACCAAATCAATAGCTAGATCTTATGTCTGGTAGCCAAATATAGATGTTGATGTAGAAAATTTAATCAAAAATTGCATTCCATTTCAAGAACTTTTAGCAAGCCCAGAAAAGAGCACTTTAATAGCGTCTACTCAAACTGATACTGTATGGAGCAGAGTTCATATAGACTTTGCAGATCCTATTAAAGGGTTTTATTTATTTGTAATAATTGATTCTTTTTCTAAATGGGTTGAAGTAAATCAAACCGGAAACATATCTTCAAGTTTTGTAACATCATTTTGGAATTGTAAATACAATTGTGAGTGATAATGGTAAACAATTCACTTCAGAAGAATTTAAAGTTTTCACCACAAAGAACAATATAAAACATATTTTGACCGCACCTGGTCATCCATCAACCAATGGACAGATTGAAAATTTTGTAAAAACACTAAAAAAATTTTTATATGCAAATTTGCGTAATCAAAATGAAAATGCTCTACTAAAGAGTCTCCAGCTAAGATTTTCTTAGGTAGAAGGATTAGAAATAGATTCGACTTCATGACACCTCCATTAACTAAAGATGAAATAATATGTAATCAAGAAAGAAGAATAATTATAAGGGTAAACGAAATGTTTATTTTAATATAGGTCAGAATGTGTACGTTCGTGACTACACAAACCCTAACAGATCAAGCTGGTCTCCAGCAAATATTAAAAAAAAAATTGGTCCAAGATCTTTCTTATGTACACTTTCACATAATGGGAGGGAAATAAAGCGGTATACTGACCAAATACGAGCAGGTGCTACTAAAAAATTAGAACAAAATAATAATATCAAATGCCACACTGAGTCTAATATTCTGGACAACAATCCTTCAGTCACTGAGAATATCATGGAAACTCACACACCACTTGAAAATTCAGTAAATAATAATAATGAAAATATTTTGATTGATAATAATGTACATAACTTAAGACCACGAAAGAATGGTAAAGTAACTAAAGAATAATAAATTTAATTTAATAAGATATTTTGAAGTTAATTGAATTACATATTTTGATTTATTGAATTTATTCTAATTTTAGTTGAATTGTAATTATAAGTAATGTTTCATTTATAAAGTTATAATTTCAAATTGTCTTATTTAATGTAACATATAATTTAAATAAATAGCTCATTTAGTAGGAGCATGTTATATATATAATTAATATATATATTTACATTATTATAAGTTACAGTGTATGTTACACAATATACTCAAAATGTTTAGTTCGTAAGCTTTTGTAAAATTATAATAAAGTCAGTCTGTAATACAACTCAAAAGCGCGTTTTACTTTGGTAAAGACACCACAATAAGTGTTCGTTGTTGTGTGTTAGGTGGTCGTTTTGCGTTTTGTAGGAAGCTATACCCACGGCGTTGTAACGATCAAATTTTTAATTAATAAAATTTTTGTGTCGTTACAGGCTGCACAAACTTTCAATGCTAAAGTTCCAGGTTTTGTTGTCACTAATTTTTATTTAATTAGTAACATTGTTTGAGATTTGGCACAACAACCAGGCAATATGGCATCACTCCTCTAGTGTTTTTGACAGTGGCATTTTAAAATCTGGTGAGCAATAATTTTGGTTTCGTTTTTGCTTCCTCTTCTTCTTCTTACTTTGATACTGGCAAGGTGTCCGCGTTTTTTTTGATTTCGCGAAATATAAGTAATTTATAACTTATTCCAGTCCAATTTTCGTAAATTAAATAAATATATGAACTTTTGCGTGTGTGGAAATAATTGTGTCTGTTTTTTCATACATTTGTTGGTGCCGAAACCCGGGAGTTTCGGTTTTTAATTAAAAATTTAATTGCGCTTTAGAAGTTGGCTTTTTACGACGAAAATATGGCTGCCTTAAATAGGCGTAACTCAGCGTGGTCATCATTGAAGCGAGTAGCTGCAAAAATATTGGTGATTCATCATCAAGTCTGATGGCACGATGCGCAACTGGCTGAAGGCTCGGTACGACAATCCGAAACAGTTGGCTGAAAAACGCGTTATAACTTCGTTATTTTTCAACCGATTTAGTTGAATTTTGAAATATAAATAAATTAAATATTTGTAAAATTATAAATGTCTTTTTCTTATTACTTATTAAATTTGTTGTTAAAATAAATGGGGTTTATTGAAGGTCATATTTTTCGTAATTTTTCGCTGGTTTCTGAGGCCTGAAATAGGTGTAAAACGTAGAGTGCGCAGACCAATTTTTATTTTGTTGTAAAGTTTAACTATTTGGGTATTAGTAGGAAAAATTTCATGAAAAAACTCGGATACATTTTTTGGGTGTCGCAGATAGAATATCGTAAGCTTTAAAAAAAATTAAAAATGATTATTTTTGAATAAATAATAAAAAAGCTATAAGGGTTTAAAATTGGTTCAATTTTTACAAAATCATAATTTCGCTAAAGTTGCATAAACTGCAAATAACTTAAGAACTAATGGGCAGATCACACCCATTTTGTGCATAAAGTTGTGTTGCTATGTAAGTCACGTATATATGTAGTCCAATAAGTGCAAAAAGTGTTTTTAACGATAATAAATGATTTAATATGAAAATTTTGTATGGGGGGTGGGTGTGTCAGTGGGCGGAAAACCATAAAAAAATTTTGGAATCTAGATAATAACGTAAGTTTTCCGGACACCAAAATTCAGCTTTCTACCTATCATAGCTTTTAAGTAATCTTGGGACCACGGTAAAGTCCCCATGTTTGGACAAAAATTTCGGATAGTTCCGGTAGACCGATTGGACTCAAATTAGATTTAAAAGAAAGATCAACTCAAAAACTATATTTTTTCATATCAATATCTCTACTGGTTCCGAAAATATCGAATTATGAGTAGTCATTTAGTCATTTACTACTTTTAAACTTAACAGCGTTTTCTTAGCTTGAATAAAACAAGGGGTTTTAATGCCATTTTGTGGGACATATTTTCATGAGCACATCGCATAACTTGAAACGATAAAAAATGTTTTTAGTAGATTAGATTAGATTAGATTATGCTGGCAGGCCATAAAGGCCACGCGTAGACCACTAGGGTCCATTGCGATACCAGATCAGAGTCTTGTTTTAGCGATTGTAAGCATCACTTAAGATGCGCGTTTCATTAGCAAAATTTATTAAGATTCCAACAGAAACCTCAGGTATGTACTCCAGTCCTGCAAAACTGAAAGCTCCCAAGTATTTTTGTCGAGTTCTCGAGAGAGCCGGGCAATTACACATCAGATGCTCTAGAGTTTCCTTTGCATCCGGCTCATTGCATTTTCTGCAAGCATCGTTGTGAATTAGGTTTAGTTTTCGGGCATGTGATGCAACCAAACAGTGACCTGTCAACACACCAATTAATGTTCTACAGTTCCTTCGGTTTAACGATATAACATTCTTGGTGTATTTTTCTTCATATATGTGCCTACACATAATTCTAGCTGTTCTACAGGTGGTTAAGTTCCGCCACCTTTCCTTTGCTCTCCTTATCATGTGCTCGTCCAGAAGTTTATGTATTTGTTTCAGAGGTCTAAGTACTGCGCTCGTTTGTTCCTCTGAAAGTTTTGCGCCATTTTTAGCAATAGCATCAACTGTCTCATTTCCCTCTATGCCTTTATGACCAGGAATCCAGTACATACAAAGTCTGCGGTTGCAGGCTAGTCTTGTTATAGCTTCCTTGCATTCTAGAACATTTTTGGATGATGACCAGTAAGATTTGATCGCCTTAATGGCTGCTTGGCTATCCACATAGAAATTTATGCAGTAGTTTCTGGTTTCATCCCTACACACAAGCTCCGCCGCTTTTTTAACAGCAAACACTTCTGCTTGGAATACACTGCAGTAGTTGGGAAGTTTAAACGGCATTCTTATGCTCAATTCCGCACAATATATGCCAGCTCCTACTCCCACTTCCATCTTTGAACCGTCTGTGAAAACATTTATGGTGTTGCATTTTGGCACCATGCCTTTTTTCCATCCTTCGTTTTCGATCACAGTTTTTATTGTTGCTCCGGGGTACATGACCAGAATCATATAATCCGAATCAAGAGTGGCGTTCTGATTTACAACGTTATGCCCGAAAGATCTTCGAGTAAGTTGCCCAGTAATGCGTAGCCGTTCGGCCGTTTTTGCCGCCATATTCTCGGCAAAGATATCAATTGGGGGTAAGTTTAGTATAGCTTCTAGAGCTGCCGTCGGAGTTGTTCTTATTGCACCGGTGATGCACATCGCCGCGTGTCTTTGGACCTTTTCCAGGGGTTTTATATATGTTTTCTTTTTCACAACTGTCCACCAAACTAATATACCGTAAAGTAATATAGGTCTAACTATAGCCGTGTAGCACCAGTACATAAGACCGGGTGAGAGACCCC